GTTTGTTTATTTGTTTAAGAAATGCATGGAATTCATTGTGTGCAAAGATCCGTATTTAGCATTTTCTTCATTCATATGCTATTAATAACAACAGCAAAATGCTGAAGAGTATTTCAAATAATATACCAAGAATTTTTCTGTAATATAAGAAGCTGAATGATTAGGAATGTGATAAAAAGGACTGTTGCTTTTGAATTTGAACTAGACTAGATAGACGGACAGGTTGACAATAGACAAGTTGGCGGATAGGATAGATGGATAGATGGGCAAGTGGATGAATGGACAGAGAGAGGCTTTGTCTACTGTCTGTATGGAGTTTGAATCCATAGTTATTTAGAATGTAGTGACTCCATCAAGAATATCCAGGTTCTTCTTAAATGGTAGACTAGGATGGAGATTTTTTAAAAAAATATGTACATGAATTTATTATGAGATCTTCATTACTGATTTGGGATAATTTTAAATATTTTCAGAATGAAAGAGCATAAATTAGGTAACTAAAAGCTAGTAGTGGTTTGAGACACAGTAGTGAGATGCTGATGAAAGGCCTACAACCTTAGAGACAGGGGATGCTCAAAATTAGACATTAGAGTAAGTGCAGGACCAACTGTGCAGAACCAGAGAAATGCTTAACTGAGATCTCCAACCCTTCTTGGTTGGGATGGCATTTGGAAAACTGAATTTATTCCACAAAAAGGTTCTGACTCTGAAACTCATTAAAAAATTTTGTTTGTTCCAGATTCATGAAAAGTCATGTTGGTCTGTTTGCTGCTTTATTCTCAAGGCCTAGAAGAATGCATGATGCATAGTAAATGCTCAACAAACATTAGATGAGTGAATGAATGAATAAAAGTAGAGAGAAGTTAAGAATTCTGAAGACAGGTTGATTATTAGTAGAATATAGATGTGTAATTTCATTGGTCTAGCAGTTATGGGCTGGATGAAAACAAAGATCAAGAAACTTGAACCATGTTTAAGCACTGGCATGCTACCCTATCTTAGTGACTTAAAAGGACTCTAAAAATCTCAAAATGCATGCACACTCTCTCACATTCATGTGAATCATTTTAAATACATATCAAGTGTAAATTAATATTAAATCCCAGGAGAATGAGATCAAAAACCTAATTTGTAGGTAAATATTAAGTACTGCAACTTTATAGTAAAAACAGGAAAAAAAATACACAAAATGGAACAGTCATGTGACTGTTACTTGCTGACACATCAGTATTTAACTTGAGTTTCTCTAGAAAATTGGGTTTTATTTTACATAAAAGACTACATTAATGGGAATATTATAAAGTTATCCACAATCACACACATACACTGTCATTTATAGGCTAAAGATGTGCTCTTTTTACCATGACCTTTACATGCCCTTCCAGAGAAAATGTGTTGGGGGAGAAACAGATGATTTCTGTGATCTCAAGTTCTACATGACTGAGTTTAAGGCAAAGATTGAAGCTGAACATGGAAACCAGAGCCAATGCATTGGAGCATATTTTTCTTTCAAAATATTTTATGTACTAAAGTTTGCACAACATCTTGGCAATGACAGTGAGTCCGCGAAGGAGGTGTTTTGTGTTTCACAGCTAACATAAGGGCAAAAAAATGTGATAGCAGCAAAATATTACTTTAATCATGAACTGAAAGAATGTATATAGAAGAGCACAAGGTAGGGTCCATGGGCTAGAAGCCACAGATTTAAAAATCTACAAAACTCCAAAAAGAGCATATATCTCTTATTCTTTCCTTCATACCAGTGAACCTTCACCTCATCACTAGTTTTAAATTTAGAGAACCCTTGGACTCTAGGGAAAGGAGTCCTAGAATATCTTTTAGGATTGTGAAGGAGTGAAACTAAATTTAGCACAGTCCATCTGTTTAATTAGAGTGAGAAAGAGACATAGCTACATTTTCTTGGCACACATGAAAATCTTTTTAAAATCTTAGAGAAGGGTGGTTTCCTGATCTTTCCAGAAATCATTTTGAAGTTCACCAATTTTGCCATTGAAAACTCTGTCCACCTCTTTTCCTTCTCATGGTTTTATTTTTATTTCTAAATACTTTTTTTAAACTCTAGAAAATAGAAAACTTCCTAGAATAATTGACATTCAGCAAATTTGTCACATTCATTGATGGATGCATGAGAAACTAGACTAGGTATTAGGTGATCTGGGTCTTAATCCAAAGGTACTAGTAGGTTTCATACTACCCAGTGAAAATTATTAGGCATCACTTCTTACTATCACAACTTTGGGTGAATATATATGTATGGTGTGTGGCATATCATATCTTGCTACGTAATTTGTAAGCTATGGATCTTAACTCTAATTGCTTACATAGACTGGAGACATAATACAAATGAAGGAGTTAGCTGGCTATAATAAATATGAAGTAGAGGAGACTATGGCCAACTAGAGATCAGAAGGGCCAACCTATGTTTAAAACATGTTGGAGACTCACCAGATCACATCTGCAGTTCAAATATACCTTATAGTATAAGTATAAGCTCTTTCACAAGGACAATGGTCTCTAAAGCATTCTGTAATATAAAAAAATACAAAAACATGTAAATAAGCAAATTATTGATAATTAAAATTGAAGTATATAAGAAGAATTTATTTAAGATCATGTGTTATTAAGTTTTATGTTCCTGACACTCTTCTAAATTTTACCTGATTTATTTTATGTCATTAATATAATTACCTTCATTTCACAGTACTTGGTAAATGTATATTGAAAAAATAATTAGATGTTTAAAAAGAGGCCAATATAACAAAGAACATAGTGTTGGAGTCCTGAGCAGTCCTATAACACAGGTAAAAGAAGCTCACCCACAAAGACAGCCCATTTTTTAACATCTCCATGTAGGAGAATGAAGGTAATTCCCTGACTCCATCAGTGGCTCATAATCATAACCTGCAACTGAACAGAGAGCTCTCTATTTCTAATAAAGCTGATACAGACAGCTTTCAGCAGTCTGCAAGACCTGTGTCCTTTGCTTCACAAGGAAAAATCAAACAAAAACAGATTATAGCTCCTTTGTGTTGAGTAACATTAACAGTTATGAACAATTATCATTACTGAGTACTTTCTGTGTGCTAGGCATTGGATTATCAACCCTAATTCTTCCAGGAACCCCAAAGAGTTAGTACCATTACTGTTCTTATTTTACAGTTAAGGAAATGCAAGCTTACAGAGGTGAATTAACTTCTACCAGACCACACAACTAATAAATGCCACAACCAAGGAGGCCCAGTCTCCATAGCTCATGCTTTTGTCCATTGGATGGCTGTTCAAAGAAGTCTGAAAAATCCTTTAAATTTCCCTACCTATGTTTGTCAGCCATTTTTTTTTAAACATGAAAGACTCTTTTCAAAGTCTTGTGTAAAACTCCAAATGATGTCATAGAAAAGAGCAGATTTCTATTCTGGTTGAAATAGAGTATGGAAGGCCAACCCCTGCCTCATATATATTCCCTCTCAGCTTGATTTCTTCTACCACCAATCTTTACACTTCTCTGACTTGCCTCTTTCTCCCTATCACAGGCTTTGCTTCCCTCTCCTTGGTCTGCATGGACTCAAAGGCTCTACCCTCAGTCCTCCATGTATTTCCCCTTCTACTTGCCCTCCAAGACATTCAATTCAAAGATCTTCCTCTACTACCATTCTGTTAGTGATTCTCAAGAGCTGTCTTCATGTCCATATTCCTAGTGGTCTGTAGGCACACAAAATCTTTTCCAAGGGCCATGGTGGATTTAACACTGAAAGAACTGACTGGTTATAGGGATATATATGTATTAGAGGCTGACTCCTTCAGAGCCTCAGAAGATGTCCTCCAGAGATGGCTTTGATTATTTTGAACAAACTGGTGAGGAGGATCTCCCCACCCTGTTCCTGCTGTTTGATTTTTCTTCCCAACACATTCCCTTCCACTGTTGAACCTAAGGGTACTCAGCCCTGAGGAAAGAACAGATTGGTTGGTGCAGGCAAGCCAGGGCATCTGCATTATAATCTGATTCTCAAATGGTTATCATCAAAGTCTGGGGATCTTTGTGTTTATATAATCTAAAGTGTGCTTCCATAATTTCTCATCTTTATATACATAAGTGTATTAACCCTTACTTAGGTGACAAATTCTCAAAGGTCAGAACTATGTTTTCTAGTCTTTTTTACCCAGTAGCTCAATCCTAAACACATCATTGGGAATTCATGAGAATACTTGATGGGGTTTGGCTTTCTGCCCTGTAGGGTCCTGAGCTGTCAGTGCCTACGCACTGGAAAATTCTTCAAATTAGAATGGCAATTCACCAACATCCATCTTATTTGATATGCAATGTGAGTTTTTAATCAATATTTTCTTATCTTCAGTAGGTTAGGTGTTCTACTGGATACTGCTGTGAGATTACTGAGTTATTGATGAGGGAGTGAAATTAACAAGTGTCTTAGAAGTGAAATCTTTCCAGGTTTCAAAGTGTTTGAAAAACAGAAGTTCATAGGCCTTCCTGCCCTCGTGTCATAGAAAGCTGGGCAAGGAAGAATGCCGTCTGTCCAAAATGGTCATTAAATTGTTAAATACATGACTTGGAACATCATTTTGATCTCTGGATCAGCAATAATACATGCTAACTCTAGGGAAAAGGACGTACTTTTTACTCTGTGGTGTTTGTTCCTGAGAAATTGAAAGGCTTGCCATATGTTTTATAGTACTTTTTTTTTTCTTTGAGGTTCTACAAACACTTTCTGGAATGTGGAGTCTGCAGCATCAGAGTCACATGGGAGCTGATCCAGGGTCCTGATGTCATTAACCTACCTGCTTTGGTTGTTGTGATATGCAGTTATGTCTACATTTCAAAAAAAATTCTCTGATCTCCAACCCATTAAGCATGGTCAATCTTTAACAGGATGAAAAATGTTTGGAATCTAAGCTTGTGATCTTTGTGCTACATTTTTCTTCTTTTAATTCACGGTAGCTTCCCCCTCCTTTCTCTTCTTTAGGATCAACACTCTGTGGTAGGCCAGAACACAGGCCCAAGTCCAAGTCCCAACCCCTGCTCAAATCCAAACACTGGAAGTGGTTACATGAACTCCCAGCAGTCACTGTTGAATCAGCAATTGATGGGAAAGAAACAGACTCTACAGAGGCAGATCATGGAGCAGAAACAGCAGCTTCTCCTCCAGCAGCAGATGCTAGTTGATGCGGTAAAATTTTTTTGCTAACTTCTAATGCACATACTTGTTGGTTCAAGAGAAGGAGATCATTCTCTTCCATTTCTATTTGTTGCCCTTTTCTCTGTGCTGACTTCTGTAACAGCGACAGGGTGTCCTGGCTGTAAGGGAGGCTAACTATATATGTTTAAAGCATTGCAGGAAAAAAAAAAAAAAAAACTTGACTTTCCAGCTGCTGGACACTTGGAATGCACAGCACCTTGGCTCGCTCGCCCTGCCCGGCACAGGAATGCCTAGAATGACTAACATGGGCATTTGAATCAAGCAAAAGAAACCACTGTTGTTCCCCAGCCCCAAGGGGCAGAAATAGTGAATAGAATTTTAATGAACTCATATCCAAACTGATTTTAGAGATAAACGAGTTTTAAAAGCAGTTTAAAAATTCAACATGAAGTTTCAAAACTAAGATCTGGCTTTTAAAACACAGAATCTCAGAATGGAAGATGATTTTTTAAGAAAATTAAAAGTATATTTCCTATTTTTGCCCCACTTGTATGACCTTTTAAGAAAGGCAAAGTCGTGTTTCTCAAACACTACCTAAGCATAAATCCAACTTCAATATTTATCTGTTTATCCCTCTGTATCCTCAGATATAAATATAAAATATCTGATCTGATCCCTTCCTCCCTGTCAAAAACACAGCCCCATCTATAATAGTTTTCATTCTTTGCCTTCAAACTGTTTGACCAAATGAAATAAGAAAGGGACAAAATTATACATTTCCAGAATAACAGAATTAAGATAGAAAGAAAAAAGAAAAATAAGGGATGGAGATATAACTCAGCAGTTGAGTACTTGCTTAGAGTATGTGAGGCAATGAATTCAATCCCCAGCACAGCAAAAAAAGAAAAGAGAAAAAATTGCATCAAATAACTTTATATTCAAGGAGCTTTGTAGTAAGAATCAGAAATGCAGAGTGTTGTAAATACCATAATTATTCAGTAAATATTAATTTAAGCGAAGAAACAACAATAAAGAAGAAAGATCCTTTCTGCTCCCAGAAAAGCTTATAGCCCACTGGGATGTCAAATAAATAGGCCATTGGAATCCAGGGATCAAATCCTATGCTGTAAAAACTACTAGAAATGGTTTCTGAGAGGAAGTTATATCTACTGAAGGTCTGAAGGTACAGTGGGAGAAGGGAGGAAGACTGGGGAGTTGTGCCAGCCCAAAGAAACAGCATATTCAAAGATCCAGAGACAATAAAGGACAATGCATAATACATTGTATAGAATGTGCACAAAGGTAGGGAAGTGATGGGCAAGAAAGCCAGAGGACAGAGCTTGATAAACCATAATTTACATTGTCTGAAAAATAATGGAGAGGATTTTAAGGACTTAAAACAAGAAGTACTATATTCAGTTTTGCATTATAGCTAAGGTATAGACATAGTAAGAGAAAACGTAATGGAGATAAAGATTAATTCAGCCTAGGAAAATTGAAGATAATCTCCCAGAGAAGATAAATTTTGACTTTGACTTAGAAAGACTGTAGCATTCTGCCAGAGAAAGTAGGTAGGGTCTCCCATGCCACGTGGAGGGTGGACCAAGGAAAAAAAGGTAGAGCCTGGTTATATATTTGTTGTTAGTTTAAAACTACATTATGAAAGATGTAATGTATAAAGAAAAGTATAAATAATAATATTACAATCACATAAGTTTTTTAAAGAATGATAAATGGAATAAGTTGGAAGTCCAGAACATATCAGAAGAAATAATGAGAAATAAATTTATTTGATGATGAATAAGAAGTAGTAAGAAATAAATTTACATTATATGACCTTGAGTACTACCCTGATATATAAGGTATAGGAGAGCCACTTCCTGGATCACAAAGTGATTCCATTGGTTTTTTCCTACAAATTCTAGTTTTGAAAACTTCAGTCTTCCCATCTGTTTTCTTTCCTTCCTCCTTTTCTTTTATCCTTATAAACTAAAGAGCTTAGAAACAAAAGGCAGGAGAAAAGAAAATATTCCATCTAAAATTGAGTTCATTGCAACATAGGTATGCTTTTATTATTCCCATCAATACTACTAATCTGATGACATGCAGTGGTTGGATTTCTGGATTTTCATCTCTGACTCAAAGACAAGAAAGTGTGGCATACACATTCCATGAGGATCTAGTCTGGCCCTGGCCTCTCACCAAGCCCCTGTTGAGTCACACTGGGACAGGTGCAAAGGGCAATGGCATAAGCTGTGGGAGATGCATGAGAATGAGGCTGCACTTTTTGTGATTTTTATAAACCATTCACTTTCTCTTTGTTTGAACACCATTGAGGGTGCCTATGCTTTTTAGCATATCCAGGAAGAAACAGTCTTTGATACCACTTTACATTAGCATATGCTTTGTAGTCCTTTGCAGTCAGTTGGCAAGACCAGATAGACACCTAAATTGAGACATTTTCTCATGAAAGTCTGTTACTCTCTGTTCTTCCACCAATGAAGCACAAAGAAATGAGCAATTCCTGTTGCAATGAACATCATCATTACTGACACGTATTGTACACCTACTGTGTGCCAGATACCATGCTGAATTTTTACAGAATTAAAGGATTATCCTTAAAATAGGAGTATGAGGAAGGTCCTATAATTATACAGATCTCACATTTTTACAGATGAGGAGACTAAAGCAAGACAGATATGTACATGTATGAATGATTTATATCTTAGGGTTTTGGATAAAAGAAAGTGGCTTGTCCTGAGAATTAACTGATAAACTAAATTTCATATTACACGGTAGTAACTTCAGGGATGGCCTGTGAGTTTACATTTGCGTAGGATGGGAATGTCATTCTCTTGTAAAATGTAGCTATCTCCATACAGCATTAGAATCTAGGCTTCATTATCCTTCCGCCCAAAGCAAAGGCATGGCAGTTCTAGGTAATATCTGTGCACAAGGCCATTAGGTCTACCTTATTTGTGGGAAGGTAGTTTAAGGAACTCAAGTTTCAGAGAGGTGTATGTTAACCCTTTGAACAACAACAATTGAGCCCTGGGAGTAAAAGAAAGATTTTGGGGAACACATCAAAAATAAAACTAAATCCAGGTTGAAACCTAGTCTACTGTGGAAAATCAAGGGCCTAATTCCCCCTCTCTCTCTCTAACACACACATGCACACACGTATGCACATATGTCCTCTCATCCTTAGTAGAAACACCTAAGTCTGTAAGAAAGATGCTTTTTGGAAAGGAGAAAAATTCAGAACGTCCTATGCTTGGCTTAAAATTCAAAACTGTCAGTTTACACAATAGTTTACAACGGGGATCCTTGCACATTGCCACATTTGGGTTGTGGAACATCTCAAGGCAAAACCAGAAAAGAGTTTCACCAACCACTTTTCCCCTTAATTTGTAAACCCGTGCTTAAATAAAATGTAATCCATATGTTTCTGATTCATTTACACTTAGCTCATCAGATTTGTGTTTTAAATGAGTTACTTGATGTCCAAAAAACACTGTCTTTCAAGTTTCCTTCTTAGAAACAAGAAATGATTTGTTGTTGTCTTAAGGCCCTTTCCCTCACTTTATAGTAGGTGTTTTCTACTCAGAAGGTTTGGGATTTGAAGGGAAACTGAGAAGCCCATGGTTGAAGTGAGTTCTAATTAGGCAGAGCACATTTGGCTTCCAGTTAATTGACTCATCTATTACAAGGGTTGTTTTTTTTTTTCCTACTTATTAACTTTTCTGTAATTACAGTGTTCTGTTCTACCTATGCCAATTATTTTTATCTCTAAACATGGAGGTTGCTTTGGAATATATACAAAAGCTGTGAAGCAATTCCAAAAGTTTCCTGATCCATGCTAAGAAAGAAAAAAAGCAGCCCTTGAGGTCCGGAACTGAAATGACATTCAGAGCCAAGTTATTTTGTTCTCTGTTGAACATAAACAATCTTACAAAATATCAACCTCAGACAGTTACTCTGATACCATGATAAAGTGAGACAAAATAAGGCTACTTCATAATTTTGTCCAAAAACAGACACAAACAAGGTCATTGTGTGACCCACAAAATGCCACACATCTGCCTCGTTTGCTAAATAGATAAATACTTCTTTACTCAGTCATACAGTCAATGTCATTTTCTGACAGCTTTCAATCTAGAAAAAAAAAAAATTCCCTCTTACTTAGACCCTCCCTAAATCGCCCAAAGTCCAAATCGTGTGGTGGGCTCTTTCCAACATGTGCTCCTACTGAGACACCCCCATGGTTCTCCAGGATGTATGTTCTCCCTTGCTGGAATAAGTAACAAACCCAATAGGTTTATTCCTGGTTGTCTTTGACTGAAGGCACTGACAATCTAAATAAGTCAAGTAATATTTATATCTCTTTACCTCCTATGTTAGTCAGCTTTGACAAAGCTGTCACCAAATACCTGTCGAGAGCACTTAAAGGAGGTTCCAGAGGTTTAGTTGATAGTCGGCTGAGTCCATTGCTCTAGGGCCAAGGTGAGGCAGAACGTTTTTGCAGAAGGGTGTGGCAAAGTAGTGCTTCTCACTTTATGGCAGCCAGGAAATGGAGGGGGTGCAGCTATAGGGAAAGTGAACCCTTCTAGGACACCTCCCTAGTGACCCATTTCACCTAGTGACCCACCTACACCCATGACCCAACTGCCTACAGTTACCACTGGGTCAGTCCTTTCAAACTAGGATGGATTGATTAGGTTAGAGCTCCCATTGCCATTTTACCACCCAATATTGGTGCATTAACACAGGAGCTTTGGGGGGACACCTCAATGCAAACCATAACATATCCCAAACTCACCTATTCTGAAGATCTATAAGTGGCTGGTTCCAGAAGAAAGAATAGAAGGGAGTTTGACAAATTCTATGCTATTAGAATGGGGCACTGATAACCAGAATATCAAGGAATTCTTGTATTTTTATATGGTAGGAAAAAGTCTCAAGTTTTTGACTCAGGATTTGGTCTCTCTTGTATACTATGTGACTATGAGCAAGCTACTTAGTCTAACAAAGCTTCCATTTTCTTTCTCTCTTTTTTTTTTTTTAGCAAGAGTAATCATACTTACCTTGGAAGATTAATTATGAGGGGTCAAAAGAGGGCATATAGTGCCTAATATTTCTTCCTCTTTTGGGTTACCAGATTTGACAAATAAAAAAACAGAATTCCATGGTGTTCAGTATTTTATCTGGCAATGCTACTCTTAGGTTTTCCAAACTCATGGCACCTGAGTCATACATAGATATAAAAACATATCAGGCATGCTACGACATAAAACTAGAAATGTTGTCTCAAAACTCACTGAACTTTAGTTCTTACTGAAAACTAATTGCAAAATAAAGGAAATGAGAGTAGTTACTATACCCAAAACGCATGTTGTATGTTATGGAGAAAAAATGACATTTCCATGCAGAAAGTTTATTGAAATTGAAAAGATTTGTCTCTGAATTAGCACTACTAAATAAGGCCATACTTTATAATTTTTGACTACAAAATTGTTCCTGTATTCTTACTTTTTTCAATAGCACATAAATTTCATAAGTGAAAAAGTAATGATACAAATTAACATGTTTTCTTTTTGTGTTTTCAAGGAGAAAATTGCTCCACAAGATCAGATAAACCGACATTTGACAAGGCCACCCCCAGATTACAAAGACCAAAGAAGAAATGTTGGCAATCTGCAAACAGCTGCTCAGTATTCTGGTAAGTATTTTTTAAAAAACCATAACTGTGAAAAGAAGAAAACTGTTCAGTTTTGTTGTGACAAACAAAGGTGCAACTTATGCACTCGAGAGGGAGAAATAAAAAATGTCCACATGCTTCTGCCCTTTTCAATGCTTTATTCACTCAAATCACTCAATACAATTCCACTCTATAGGTACTTTTTAAAAATTTTTTTTAGTCATAGTTGGACATAATACCTTTATTTTATTTGTTTATTTTTATGTGGTGCTAAGGATTGAACCCAGCTTGTCTCATATGCTAGGTGAGCGCTCTACTGCTGAGCCACAGCGCCAGACCCTCTATAGGTTCTTAATCAAGAAAATGACTATCCTTAATGCTGGGCACTCCAATAGACATAATCAATTCAAAGCAAACAATTCTAAGTTAACTCTAAGCACTGCAAATATCCTTAATCATGACAGACCTATTACAGACATTCCCTCTGCATGCTAAGCTCAAGTGCCAGATCTAAAGTCTCAAGTCTTAGACCTTAAGTCCAGCAGATGCACGCTCACTCAGACCATAGTGATCAGGTCAGGAAGCGATGGAGACTTGCCGGCTGAGGAGAGGGTCCTAAGAAGAAGTTGCTGTTCTCACCAAGGTCAAGATGAGGCTGTAGAGTTTGAGAGTGATAAGGATGATGCAGAGGATCAGGCAAATGATGAGAAGAGTTGGGATGTTAGTCTAGGTCCTCATCAGGCTCTCTGGCATGTGGGCATCAGTGTCAGCTGGTTGATTCATTTGCTCCATCATTTATGCTAAATGTTGAGGTTTCTACTCATCCTTTCAATCCCTATCAGCTGTTACCAGGTCTCTCAGTGATGTCTTTCATTCTGGGGTCAGGACATCTGGTCTGCTTGTTTCCACCCTGATCTCTTGCCTCTGCCTTTATCAGGGTGAAGGCAAATGACAATGACTTAACTCTGAGTTTTATCAGGGTTGTAGAAAGTACTTATTTTATCAAGCTATGCCCAAGGACAATATTGGAGGGCTTCATAGGCTTGGCTAGTGGGGACTGCAGTTTTATTTTAAAATGTAGTTACTTAGGCTAAGGCCTTCTTAGTTTAGGGCCATCCTTACAAGTTTTCACTATCTTCTCCTTTCCCCCCTATCTTTAAGAGAAAGCCACTCTATTTTAGTGCTCTTTCTATAATGCGTAAACTCTGAACAAAGGAGTGACTCAGGGTGATGTTTCTCCTCGAAGCTGTCCTATTCTTTTTACATAATATGTTCAATGATTATTTATCTTAAATTGTTCTTGCATCTAAAATCAGTTTCAGAGGCGGTAAGGTCTTGCAAATTGCTTATAAAGAAGGAGATAATATCCCCGTTATGAGTAGATCTAATTCTCTTCTCTTTCTTAGGTGGCTCATCGACGGTGAGTTTGAACTCTAACCAGGCTTTGACAAACCCAGTTTCAACACACACAATTTTAACTCCCAATTCCAGCCTCATGTCTACTGCTCATGGAACAAGAATGCCATCATTATCCACAGCAGTTCAGAACATTGGGATGTACGGAAATCTGCCTTGTAATCAGCCTGGCACATATAGTGTCCCTTCAGGAATGAGTCAAATGACCCAACAGAGAAATCCAAATCAACTTATAGCCAATCAAAACAACCCTCTGATGTCACGGTCATCTACCTTAGGACCAAATAACAATAGCAATGTGGCCACTTTTGGAGCTGGATCTGTTAGCAATTCACAACAACTGAGACCAAATTTAACCCACAATATGGCAAGCATGCCAACCCAGAGAACATCCAATGTTATGATCACATCCAACACAACAGCACCAAACTGGGCCTCTCAAGAAGCAACAACCAAACAGCAGGAAGCTCTGAAGTCCACAGGAGTCCGCTTCCCTACAGGAACGCCTGCCGCCTATACTCCAAACCAGTCACTGCAGCAGGCAGTGGGCAGCCAGCAATTCTCCCAGAGGGCAGTGGCTCCTCCTAACCAGTTAACACCAGCTGTGCAAATGAGACCCATGAACCAAATGAACCAAGCATTAAATGGACAAACCATGGGTCCACTCAGGGGTCTGAATCTCAGACCCAATCAGCTAAGCACACAGATTTTGTCTAATTTGAACCAGTCAGGGACAGGGTTGAATCAGTCAAGGACAGGTATAAACCAGCCACCATCCCTGACACCCAACACTTTTCCTTCATCCAACCAAAGTTCCAGGGCTTTTCAAGGAACTGACCATGGCAGTGACTTAGCTTTTGACTTCCTCGGCCCACAGACTGATAACATGGGTCCAGCCCTCAACAGTGATGCTGATTTCATTGATTCGTTATTGAAGACAGAGCCTGGCAATGATGACTGGATGAAAGACATCAATCTTGATGAAATCTTGGGGAACAACTCCTGAAGGAGAAAGGGCAGACAGTTCACAAACTCAAAGCACTAACGGCAGAATTTTATAAGGATGCTGTAAAGGCCAAACTTTTGACTTCCACATGGATTACATGAAGATACTGTGGCTTAAAAACAGAGACTAGCTGTAGTGAACATATTGGTCCAAATTCTTTTTTAAAATCTGAAACCTGAAAGTAAAACATTGGGATCTCTTTTCCCCATCCGAACTCCAGGACATATTTTCCAATTTATCCAAACAGAACTGTGATGTTAATGTGTAATTAATTGTGTAAAATAGACATCCCAAGCTCTTTTTCTCCCTGAAAGAAAAGTAATAGAATTTGTAGCTTGTTTCAACCCTGTGTCACGGGGAGGTACTAGTTCCAAGCAACAAGCAACAGATTCCTTAATTTACTCTCATAGATATGTGTGGTTTAATTTTCCACTGTCTTTTCATTTAATTTTCCTAAAGCTTTCAGGATAGATTGAAATGATTTGTTTGGAGTAACTGAACGATGTTCTAGGTGAGGGAAAGCCAGAATCTAGAAAACATCCAGCTGATGATAGAATTTCTTCCCTAGATTTGGTCCTCATTTTTGCAATTCTCCCACATATTCTATACTTCAGTGGGATGTTGTATCTAGTAATGAAATAAGAATGAAGGGCTGCATAACTCGATGTTGGCTTCCACAACCATCTGAATCCATTCCCTACCAAGTTTTAGATACAAATAAGACTTGTCCTAATCATACTGAAATACTGGTGCACACCTGTCTGTATCAGATTTCATTTTTTAAAAAACCGACACTGGACTTGCCATAAGGAGATTTATTTGGCCAGAAGTAGCCTGAGGTATGATTTATTATGATTGATTCTTACTGGTTTGTTCCTGAGGTGAGTGAAATTGAGCCTGTCTTCCATACTAATTTTGATGACTAGAGAATGGTTTGTAAGAAAAGGAAGTTGGAAATAAAAACTAAGATTAGAAAGTATTGAGTTTTAATTGGAGGTAAAAGAAACAGAAGTAGCAGGTAGGAATGGGTACAAATCTACTTCATAGAGTTTAGAGGAAAGCATAATTGGAAGAGAAAACATTATTTTAATTGGGGTGAATAGCTAAATAAGATGTAGTATGTTAGTTGTGGCCTATTCATTCTTCTGTCCCTGATGTGATAATTCCTTGCCACATTCTATGGGCCCTTCATATCTAAGTTTTATCCCACAGGGCTGAGTACTATATCAAACAAAGTTTTTATTGAGTAATTTGATCTCAGTACCCATATACAGATGAGCTAAAAGTGGGGAAGATGTGCAGATTTGGGAAGGATGCAAAATATACTAATTACAGAGGAGCAAAGGTTATTGTCAGCCTTTTAGTTATACATTCATATTTAAGTATCAAATGTACTTTAATTGAAGTCATTTAAAAACCAAGTCTTTAAATATCTGTTCAAAAAAGAACACACTTTTTTAAATGGGTCCTGCCATACTGCCCAGGCTAGCCTTGAACTTGCGATCCTCCTGCCTCATTCTCCCAAGTAGCTGGGATGACGGGTGTGCATCACCATGGCATTGAAAGAACACATTTTGAAAGTTCTGCAAAGCCCTCTCCCAGTCTTTAAAAACGTCTAGAGGCAACCTCCTTCCTTTATAGAACACCAACATCACTGGCTCAGATTTTCTGTGCTAATTTGTAAATATGAATAAATGATTTGTTTTGTAAACTTTTGTAAAGAATATTTTGGTAGAAATACTTAAAACATATACTTTGGGTTATATTTATACATATGTGAAATAAATATACTATCAAAAGGTTATATTTTATACAAAAAGTAAATTGTTACCTTTTGTATGCTAATATACAAAGTTTTGTACAATAATATGGTTTATTTTTAGCTCTACATTTAAACCATAGGTGGTCAAGTGGGAACCTTTGAAAATTATCAAGAGGCTTGTTAGACAAACTTATATTCTGAAACCTTAATAAGAAAGCATTCCAGGTTTCAATTCTTTCCTTTTTTTCTGCTCTCAAATTCTTTATTAAACCCATAGTTCTTGCGTCTTATTTGATTACTCTACTGTGCACATTGTATTCGTCCTTGTTGCATGTGGTCTACTGTGTGTTTTCTCATTTTATGAAACAGTGTTTCTCCATGCAAAAAGAAAGGAAAAATAATGTACATATGAATGCTTTTATTTCATTGCTCCTCCATGTTTCTGTATATATCTGCCAGTACTTCCCAGTTACACTCTGTGATTCAGTTTATTTTTACCCTAACATAAATAGTATGTTTTGTAGTAGCTATCAAATTTAAGAGATAAAGCAATCAGAATGTTTGGATTTTCTTCTATCTTAATGTGAATTTCATAATTAATGTCTATTTATTCAGCTATTCATTAAAATACAGGATTCTTTGGAACAAATGGTGTAATCTATAGTTTCTGTTTGTTGGCAGCCTATTACCAAAGATGATGCAATTTTCCTGAAAGCTGAGATAATGACAATTTGATAGACATATTTAGTGAGAACCTTAGGATTTACAACTTAAGAGCTGTTGGAATACAATCTTCCATTTGTAGAAATACCAGACTACTTAATTATTGGCATTGTTTATCATTTTGATATATTATACAAGCAGTAGAAGTAATTTTTCATCCTTTTTTCAAGTTCAAAGACTAGAAAGCAATTTAAGCAAATAATTCATTCTTGGTTTTGTGTTAAGCCCTGAAGATAAATAACTCCGCTCTAAATGAATGCACTAATATTACCTGCATTACTGTAACTTAACCCATAACTGTAAAGATTTCTACTTGTAAAGTAAATATTTGTATTGTATGTAATTCCATGTGTAAAAAATAGTTTTAAAAAATTCAGAGGTGTTTTTCTTGTATGAAGTCATACTTTCCATTCACCAATCATATTGTTACTACATCCCAGAAAGTTCTGAGAACTATTAATAGTAATGGATACTTACAGTCAAATTTATTCTGTAGGAAGCTTTTAGTACTAGCTAAATGCTGAGTCATGTCATTTTAATGTTCTTTAATTCACTCAGAAAGTTTGTATTAAAATTTTATCTGCACAGCACCTATTAATTACTGCCTAATTCTCAGGCATTGTGGGCATTTATCTGACTTGCTTTGTGGCATTTGGTCAGACTGGGCTGAGGGAACATAGGGCCCCCAAACCACAGCCTGCCTGAGCACCTTTACTCAGCCCTTCTTGAGAAGCAAGGAGGCTGAGAGAAATCTGGGCCTCTAGGAAAAGAAGAACCTTTCTGCATTCTCTTGCCCCACTGTTGTATATGTTGGTAGGGTTCCATTGTCCCTTTCCCTTCTGCCAAAATATGTATGCAATTCTCTGTTTTACTAGCATTATTAATGGAATAATAATAAAATTGATATTTTATATACTCCTTGTCCCAAAGAACTTGAAAGATTGGATAGCAAACACATAAAGCCAACACCAACAAAGATAAGCATTATATACCACACATAAAGAGAAAGAAGTATGTAATTCCAGATTTATCTCTGAACCCCAATATGTAGCCAGGGAAAGAATTTGAGAAAGGTGATGGGAGAATAAATGTTAGTACAAAAGAGAGAACAGCTCAAACTCCTTCTACACTATGGTTGCTAAAGGAAGTTCAAATTTGTAATTCTTTTATCCACAATTTCCATTTTTTATTTCCATAAGTGTTTTTTCAGGGTTTTTTTTTTAATCACTCCAAAAAAGAGGTTTGGGGCTGAACTATCTACATTCCTTTCCAAGTCTAGAACTCTGTAATATTTTTTCCCAAAATTAAGTTAAAAAGTTAACTGAAAAGACTCAACAGCATCCTGTTTAAAAATTTAAAAAGGTATTAGACACTTAATATTTCAAAAGCTTCCACTTTGTTGGTGAACTTTATTTAACAAAAATGCCATCTCCTTTAAGTTAAAACGATAAATAAGATTTGTAAGTGGTCAGAACTGGACTCCTAACAAGTAGAAAGGTAGTAATGCAGATGCCTGCTGCCTAACATCAAGCCCTGAAGATCACAAAGGGGATGTGACATTAAGTGCTAATTTTCCTGTAAGATCACAGAATCTTATAAAGAAAATATTTGCCTACTGTGGAGGAGAAAACTATAACTTAAGTAGTCAATAAACTCTATTGGGCGTATGTGGATGAAATTTTGTGAGATGTAAATACCTATGTAACATCTTCTTAAGTTCCTCCAATAGGCAAAGTGCATGTTCAGCCCAAGAATCTATTTCATTGGCAGTAATAATATAACTAAAACCCTGTACTATGATAGTTGGGAAACACATTTCTCTTAAATTTTTTAAACCAAATGCTGTTGTCCCTGATTATATTAATAGAAAGCTTTTGTTTATTTATGTAAACAGCATTTTAAATTCCCTTTCACCAAATTTAAGTGCTCTTTAGCTCCAGCATGTGCTTTTTTAATTGTTAAGATACTTTTGGCAAAAGGAAAGAAGGATGGAAGAAAGGGAGGGATAAAGAAGAAGAATATGTAAATGACTACATACATATAGAGAAGCTTCTTATAGGGTTCTTTCAGCAAAAAGAGGGAGGGAGAAAGAAAGAGAGAGAAAGAGAGAAAGAAAAGAAAAGAAAGAAAGAAAGAAAGAAAGAAAGAAAGAAAGAAAGAAAGAAAGAGAAAGAAAGAAAAGAAAAGAAAGAAAGATCATATCCCAACCATCTGGACTGGCTAACACAACTACTACTCATAGCAGCTGCTTCTGGGTTTAGGCATAGTTGACTCCAGCAGCTCAACAATGTCGTCACACTGTGGATCCTTGTATGTCTCTCATTGTTACTTCCCTATGTCTTGGCTCAGGCATGCATGTCCTCTCATGGTGGCAAAGTGGTTGCTAGAAGCTCCAAACCTACATCCTTACAATTCCAAGTCCAGCATAAACATGCAAGAATGATTCCCTTTCAGAAGATCTAACTTTGCCTCTCACTGACTTTGACTAGTGTGTGTCCCTTCAGTGAACATTCACATTGGTCAGTCTTGAGTCAATGCTTATCCCTGTAGGTAGTATTGATATTGACCAAATCATCTGGACTGAGGGTGGGAAAACAGATGATTTCACAAAGAAAAATCAATTGCAATTATAAGAAAACAATAGACATAAAATAAAATTTAAAAATGTTTTCTGGCTGCCCTATTTCCATATAAACTGTTTTCCCCACAACTTTAATTTCAAAATCTGATAATCCACATGTATTCACCTTCTCCCCAGAGGCAATTCAAACCTTGTCTATTTATTGCATCATCCTATTCCATCACAACTAGACAAGGTAAACTCTTTTCTGCCAGGCTAACATGGACCAGCAATCTTAGAAAAAAAGATGTAAGCAATGAACACAGAGTTATGAAGTTAGAATGATACAACAGTAATAATGAGTTCTCTTTGGAAGAGAAACTAATGTGTTAGCTTGATTTTTGTCACTATAACCAAAATAACCTGACAAGAACAACTTATAGGAGGAAAAGTTTCTTTTTATTCAAGTTTCAGAACTTTAGTCCATGGTTGGCCAACTCCACTGCTCTGGGCCCAAGATGAGGCAGAACATCATGGTGGAAGTGGGCATAGTGGGGGAGTATTGCTCTATTCACAGCAGCCAGGAAGCGGAAAGAGAGAAGGGAAGGAAGGCAGGGAACATGCACCCTTCAACAGGCAACCCCCTCCTCTAGTCATGTCCCATCTGCCTACAGTTAACACCCAGTTAGTCCATTCAAACTAGGATGGACCAGTCAGGTTACAGTTCTCATGATCTAATCATTTCATATCTGAATATTCTTTCATTAACAAAGGAGTTTTGGGGGGACATCTCATATTAAATTATAACAATATGTACAGATCACATTCTTATTAACAACAAGAGTAAAGACAATTCTGCTTGAGCATTCAAATTAATAACTGGAGGAGAGTCATTAAAACTTCTCTCTTTCCTTAGGATGCACACCACTACATTTTCTATTTCTATTTTCAATTTTGTCCTTACTCAGGGAGGATATTATATTGCATGCTTAGAAGTAACCAGAGAATCAGACCTCTCATGTCCCAGTCAAATCTCCTACTGGATCCCATCTCTCTCACTTAATGTGCAATAACTCTAACTTAAAGCAGCGAATTAAACTTTTTAAAAAGAATAAGCTGATCAAGGAAACAAAAACTACTTTAAATATTCCAAAAGTTAAAGAGACTTTAATGCAAGGAATTGGTTACACAGGTGATGGACAAATTGAAAAGTAAAATGGAAATCATTAAATCTTCCAGGATGAAAAGACAAACAGACAAGGGGTTAGGGTCACTAAGGAGATGTTACAATATTGGCTGGCCTGTCTGATAGGAGCTGGATCCAGTGCAAGATTCAGCTACTAATGGAGATGTCACTAATGCAGAGGAAAAAGAAGAAACACAATCTCCCCCACCCACACCTAGTCTTCTTCCACTCTCCAGTAAATGCATTTCATTTGCTGAACTCAGCTAGAATATAGTCTGGGGGAGTGTATTGTAAATCAGAGCAGAAAGGAGCTAAGGAATAACCTGCCAATAAACAGGATCATGTCTAGCATAGCAAACCTGCATATTACTGAACTCTCAGCTTTTTTGAATTGCAGACCTAGAGCTTTCTTAGCAAAGACTAATTTTTCTCCTTCTCTGTCTTCAGATACATTAATTTAATGTAAATTTATCTATTTATTATAGAATGCTATCAATTAGGAACCTATTCTGTTTCAAGTATATGAACCCCAACTAATGATGTTTTAAATAGAGAAGGGTTTTAAAAATATTCTATTGACTTTAAGAATCATATGTTTTTCATGTATTCTTATCTGTAAAATTAGGTCATCATGTACAATTGATGTGAAGAAAAAGTATTATGTCATTGTTTAATGTCCGCAGTTTTTTTTTCTTTTCATTTTTAGTGGTAGGTAGAATAATGGTGTGTCTTACAATCAACGGCATCTTGATTTGACGAAATGCAGTATTTGTCTCAAGAAACAGAGATTCTACAAGGGCAGTCCCAACATGGAACAATGATCAAATAATGCTATCAGGTACCCAGACTGTTTTCACCTTTCATCTCTGTCCTGAGGATTTGTAGAAACTTTCTTCCTTATTCTTGTCATTTTCTGGTGACAACACAGTTATCTCTGCCTCATGTTTATGTTCCAAGCTACAAAATTGAAATGGAAAATATATGGACATCCAAATATACTGCTACAGCAAGTCTTTTACTTTTCATTTGGAAAAGTCATCTAATTCAGAGACTTAAGTAAAATATACCTCTTTAGTCATGTCCATGTTATGGCCTTTCAGATCTTCATGCAAGGCTGAGTGTCAAGTACGTAGAGTTACAGCTTCTATAGTAGAAGGAGGATGGCAAGGGAGCAGATGTTGAGAAATGACAACAAGTAAAAGTCTAAAAGCAATCATGGTAATGATAAACATACATTTGAGATATTGATTATCTTTGAAGGAATTTAGAGAAATGTGATTGGAAAGTATACATGGGATCCTTAATTGTAATTGTATCATGTTATTTTCTAAGTTGGATGAAACTAAGGGTTTTTACATATATATTTTTTAGTATATTATTAGGAATGAAAAGAAAGCTAAGTCAAATTATTTGGAATTATCACTAATGGCATTCAGTTGTAAATAAATGAAGAATTGAATCATGATTGATTTGGATTTACAGTATGCAGATGAGATACTCTCCTAGTTGAAATAATTAAAATGATACATTTAATTTTTAAATTTACTAAAAAACTACAGAAATAAGAACCATGTGGCACTGGTATAGATATAAACATACAGACCCATGGACAGAACTAAAAGCCCAAAAATAAACCCTTATGATTTTGGTCAATTGATTACTGATAAGGTGCCAAAGCAATTCAAGGGAGCAAAACAATATTTTTAAAAAATGGTTCAGGGACAACTGGATTGTTGTTCATATGCAAAAGAATGAAATTGGACCTCTACCTCACACCATACATAAAGGTGAACTCAAACGCCTGAGTGGGGCGTACACCTATAATCCCAACTAGTAAGGAGGCAGACAGGAGGATTAAAAGTTTGAGGCCATTCCCAGCAAGTTGGCAAGAAATGGTCTCAAAATAAAAATATAAAAAGGACTGGGGGTGTAACTTGGTGGTTAAGTACCTCTGGATTCAATTCGCAGAAAAAAAAAATGAAGGAGAAGAAGGAGGAAAAAGAGTAAGCCCATAGAATGAAAGAAAATATTTACAAATCATATATCTGATAAGAGACTTGCATGTAAAATGTCTAAATAATCTTACATCTTAACAACAACAAAAGATGATCCAATTGATAAATAGATGAAGTATTTGAAAAGGATTTTCACCAAAAAAGATATACAAAT